GTTATGACAAGCCTCCTGGCTCTCATCATGGCCCAGCTCCTCCTCCTCCTCCTCCTCCTCCTGGTTATGACAAGCCTCCTGGCCCTCCTGGCTCTCATGGACCACCTCCTCCGCCTCCCTCCAACCTTGTCTGGTAATGAAAAGGCATAGGCGAGGTGAAGCAATTCATGAAGATGAGCACGGTGACAAGAGGTGTAAGCAAAACTCACAAGACTCCTGAAATATGATGAATACCCGCAGTCAAGAAGAAAGTAGAGGAGTGATCGCAATACGTCCCTTAACATTCCGTAATTTTATTTTTTATGCTTTACGATGTTTTTAATATATAAATTTTAACTATTTACAATAAATTATGTGTTCGAAGATATTTATGATGCATTACAAGCTTAGCCGAAGCCAGCCCATTCGATAGAAAAGCTCATCGGCTCTTTATCCTTAGTAAACTTTCTCACTAAATCATCAGCTCCCGTGGATTGCTCGTTACGGCTGCCCACTAGAAGCCAGACCTTCTTTACACCAGTGGCGAGTCTACCCCCAGTAATAACATCTAGTAAATTTATACTATGCAAAGCAGTATTTATAATGAGATGAGAATGATATCTCAATGGATCACCAGGGTAAGCTATTAATTCTCCTCCAAACCTAAGGCCAGGTAAAATAAAAAATCCTTTATTCTTAATCGATTTAAAAGTATGGTACTCTTGTATTAATCTTTCTAGCTCATCTTGCGTAGAATATTGCAGCGAGATAAAGTGTTGTAAGCACATAGGCGATAATTCTCCGCCAGGTTTAATGGTATTTGGAATTCTTATAAACTCATTAATAGCATTTTTTTCTACATCTACCTCAGATGATACAGTTTGTTCCTTGTATACTTCTTTACCATCCACTAGGATCCCGTATTCATGTTCAATTAGCCACAAGGTTTCATTGAAACTCAATTGTAAAGGAACACCAAGAAAAATATTCTGCTGAGGAGCCTTGGGTAATGTTCCACTAAGTATACCTAGTATTCCCAAATTTCTTAGCTTTCTTATATCTTCGATATCAAATATCAATACTCTATCATTAATAACCGGTAAAACTATCTTTGAACTCATATTAAGTACAAACTAGCTTACCATCTTAAATTGTTCACTATAGTTTCGGAGAATTTGATAGTCTTATTGATTTTGTGTCACTATCAATGAAACTATCATATACTTATTAACAGCCCAATTAATAGCAGAATAACATGGTATAAATATGGGTAGTCATATTAAACTATGAATTATTATAAAACTCACAGAATGAGTTTAGTCCAAAAGAAAATTGAAGCCAAATTGGAATATAGAGGCATTTATTTGGCTCAACAATTGAGCTTTAAGAGAAATAAGAGGTATTACTATATCACAAGCTCTATGATAATGGAGGTATTAATATTATTAATATTGGTATTGTATATATCCTTATTTAAGACATCGAAGAAGTGAATTTTTTAGAGTGTTTATTCAATCAAGTAAACTTGATACAGAAATTTTCGTATTATCGGTAGCATCAGAAATTTCTCTTATATTTTGAGTTTCATCCATTTTATTGCTACCCAAATGAGTTTTGTCCTGCTCGGTTTGTCGCTTCACCTCCGAACCTGTGCCAGTCGAGTTGTTAGGTTTGATATTCTTAGGACTAGCATTGGGTTGGTCGGTACCACTGTTAGTAGTATTGCCAGTATTAATATTCGAACTAGGGTGAGAATTAGAGCCGGAATTAGTATTAGTAGTTGTATTATATGCTGAACCTCCACTTGAGATTGAATGTCTGTAGGATGGAGTCAAAGGTGAATTGAAAGAATTTTGGGAAATGTTTCTTTTGTGACTTGTTTGAACGTTATCCTTCAACGGATTAGGGAAAAAGTCTGGGTTATACGAAGATCGTCTTGATTCAGTTAAAGATGTTGCATTTGAAGTGTTAAGGGTAGAAAATTCAAAGTTTGGAATGGAAATTGAATTGTTTCTGGATGCCTGGTTACTTAACATTAATGGTGATCCATGGTAGGGTGAGCTCTGACCACTTGTATTCAATGAACTAGGTTGGTTAGAGGCATTCATCAAGTTAGATAAGTTTGGATTACTATTAGTTATATTATTGACATGGGCATTTTGATTGTGAACTGAATAGACCGTGTTAGCATAAGAATGCCTTCGTGAAATCGGGTTGTGATCGTCTAGAAGTCTTTTCTTAGATGGTAAAATTAAAGATGGCAACGAATTGTTCACGTTATTCAACGGAGGTAATACTATGTTCTGGTTGCCATTCAGATGCGATATATTAGAATTAGCACTATGGCTAGCACTTGCGTGCATGTTATGGTGATGGATTAAATTCGATACGTTGTCAACATCCAAGCTTGCCAGTCGTTGGTTCGACGTCCGATAAGGGGATGTTGAATTTGCTGATGACGTAGATGACAATGGAGGAGTATTAGCTGCCTCTTGATTACCAAACATTGATGTTTTGAATGAGATTTGTTGCGGAGGGTGTGGTTGTGGTAAAGGTTGTGGTAAGGGTTGCTCATTTCTCTGATCATGCACCAGGTCTTGGGGATTGCTTGCAATAGTGCTCAACAGCTCTTCGGGGGATGCCTTCATCTGAACGGTTGCCCTTCTTTTCCTGTTCGCTCCTCCATTCCACCAGTTCTTCACGGCGTTATCAGACCTGCCATTCAAATGTCTTGCAATCTCAGCCCATTTCTTACCATGTTTCGCTACCAACTGCTCGATAAACTCTCCTTCTTCTGTTGAAATAGGAGTCCTATTTAATGACGGCTTCAAATTCTGGTGATAACGCTCCCGGCATTGCTTTGGGGTTCTAGTGCTAAGCGAATTCGAAATCTTGACCCAGTTCGATGCCCCAAATATCGATATCAATTCCATCAATCGGCGATCCTCCTCGGGAGACCAGAATCCCCGTCTGTTGTTTCCTGATTGTGTGTTGTAAATAGATAGCGTGTTGGCGCCGTTATTCAGCTTCTGTTGCTCCTGGCTCCCACCGGTGTGATTATCAGTAGATTCATTTTGAGGATAAATGCCTGACAAACCACCCTGTGGACGTATATTCGATAAATGTCCATTCTGTTGACCCACTATCTGCTGGTAAGGCCGCAGTTGGTACCCCTGGTGATACTGGTCGTACGAATAATATGGTGACTGATCAGAAGGGTAATTCATATCCAATCACCAAATCTTAAATATGTCCCACTTTTCGATGAAAATATACGACAATTAACTCTCAACACTGCTACTGAGTACGTACGTCGTAAGCCTATTATCAAATGTTAGTTATGATAATATATACTGTAAATTTATTTAGAAGGGAATATACAAAAAATTTTAAAAATCGTGTAACTATTCACTTACACTTAAAATGTCTAGCAACTAATCTCATGAATTGAAATCCACCGGTCCAACTATGCTCTTATTATCTACAGGCATAGATGTCGAAACAGCATGCATATGGGTTATATTCGTTCGAAATCATAACCCTCCCCCCCTGCACCCACGACATATTCAACCTTATTCATTTACTATCTACCCATATCTATTAACCAGTGCATAGACACAAACACGCAGATGTCCTATTATATGTAGCGAAACCAGAAGTGACCCTCAAAAATGAATGCGTCTTGTATGTTGCTATTGTTAAAGGTGTGTACTACCATGTTCTGAGTGGTTCACCAGGGTTTTTCTGAGTCTAATTCCGCCTTAACCGATTAATTCCTGTAGGAGTCTTGTAAGTCACCGAAAGAACAAAGAAATACGTGAACGATGATGCAATAGCCAGGCTCCGGCAAGTGGCAAGATCGCACGGTGAGAACAACAGAAACGCATGGGAACTATAACTCCGGGTCAATATTCTTTTCGACGACCATTGATTGGGAAGATTGCGCTAAAAGCCGGCATAGACACCTACAAGATTACACAGGCGGTCCACGTTGGCGTGTATCCTTTAGATGTATGTATTGGAATTGGATGTGTGTATTTATGTATATACAGAATACAATAGCCTGTGGTGCAGTGCGGGCTGGTTTGTTACAAACTGGCTGGCATAATAGTGGCATTTATGCTGGCCCGATATCTAAGGCATGGAAAATCTACCTGTAGAAGTAGACGTAGCGGATGCCTGACGGTTCTTCGGGCCGTTTGTATGCGATTAAGGACAAATAGTAGGCCTGATGTATTTATAGGATTCGTATTTATAGGATTCGTATTTATAGGATTCAAGAAAAAATGCGGGTACTAATTCTTGCTGAAGTTTCAACGGGCCCGGCGAACGTTGAACGACACACTTACACGACGGGGACAAACGGTTGAATATCCTTAGCGGATAAATAGATTTGTCTGCATCGTCTTCCGATGACATGTCTCTTTGATGCAATTCATACTCAAAAATGGCGTGAGATCGTATTCCGCCTTTCCGTGTGTCTCATCGTCGTTTTAGTCGTTTCACACTCGTTCGCAATAGCAGAACTTTTCACTCGTGGTAGAGGCCACTTTTTTATGCTTTCCATGGATTTTCTGGGTCTTATATCTCATCGTAGTATTCTTGAAGGTCTTCAGGATCGAAAATCACCTTCACCATCAACGAGCACGATGGACACACCGCGATGTCTTCGCCATCGTTCAAGTCGTCGATCGATACCGCAAACCTGTCACCACAAGGACATGGGTATTGGAATAACTGGGTGACTGGATCGAACGTAAAGTCCTCGATTTCTATCTCGTCGTAGATCGTCTCCATTGTGATTGGAATGCGCTGATAATCAAATAGGAAGATGTTTGACTTGGGTGTACTTAAGTAATTCTTTTCCATGCTGCATTTCTTTTGATTACGTAATTAAGGCCATCTCCAAGAGGTCGTGTGATGTTTAACATCCGTACACCTTTACAGTTCGGAAAATTCGCTAGAAGGGTGGCATATTAGTATGGGTGGCATATTTGCACCCATACTATGATTATTTTGCATTTACATGGTTATGTCTGCATCGATATTTTTTCCCATACAGTGCATCATATTGGTCCTATGGTTTTACTAATTTTCGAACTCCCACTTTCCTTTATCTTCGTACACAAACTATCCATTTTGCTATATTCTACTGTCTTAAAAATGTCGACCTCAACCCAGTTATACCTCACCGTCTCATAAAGTTTTATTTCGTCATTGGGCATTATTAAGTAGCAATAATATACTGAAAAGTGGATGAATCATCTACTTCCTTTTTAGCTTTTGAACTGTTTGTCTCATCTCGTGTATATTTGAAAGTGGACACTCTTTAAATTTTTGTGGCTATTGAAATCAGATTTAACATCACAATAGTTCTGACTAGATATCATATCTGTCTGATAATATATCCTCTATCAGCTCTTCCATTTCCTTTTCAGTAATCACTTTCTTGAAGCACTTCGTTCTATTTTTAATCCTAATATCTTCTTCCAAAATCATATTTGTACCTTTATATCCCATGCTGTACAATAAGCCTTTTTTTTTATCATCTACATTGAGGATATCTGTATATCGTAACTTCGCATGTCCATATTTAACCTGCAGTTGTGGTATGCTATATTCTTAACACGCCACGGTTATTAATCAGTGAATGAATTCTGTCAAAGTCCTCATTGTGCTCCTCTTCCATGCGAAATTGGATTCTCCCAATTGTATCTATATGGCCAATTGAAAGAGTCCCAATTCAAATATAAGATCTTCTTCGTCAATTATATAGTGTTTGTCGAATCCAAAGCAGAAATTCTGTACTCTACGCTTGTTTGTGTCTAAAATTATGTCGTAGTCATCTATCCAATGCATAAGAGGTCTCCTGTTCAAGACATCCTCTTTTAGTGTATACATATTCTCTACCTGGACGTATTCTATCTCATTATTTAAAATGTTTCTGATAATATTTTGTGGTTTTCCTCGAATATATAAACGAAATGTTTAATTGTTCTGTGGCATTACGTTCTATCCAACTAACTCTATATATTTGAATTGAACTACACTTCATTGCATATCTTGGGCACTATTAAGAAATGGTCGTGTTTTGACGAGGTTTTGATTGCAAAAGTTTTCTATAGACTATCCTACCCTTTCTAATGGCATTGTATTTACTTGCAAGTGCTATATGTTTTTCTTCAGGAGAATACTACGCATTATAGTAAACTCCAATTTCTTAATCGCGATGTTCTCTTTATATCAAGACAAAGAAAGGAGATTTTTGCAGCTACCCTGAAGCTATTTCTAATACTGGTTAATAATTCTGCTGTTTCGTCCTTTTTCAATGATCACTTAATTTTCATATACTGTAATTTTCAATTCTAGTCTTATACAATTATAAGTCCACGGTTTGGAAAATATTCTCAGAATTCCCGGAGCAAACTATATATCGGCGAATCTACGAATATACTCAATATTCTTCCATAATATTAAACCAAGACTAGATACCTCGCAGATCTATATATTTCACATAATGCACTATTCTTCTAGTTAGACTGTACTCCTTCTAATAAGCATTCACTAAGTACAATAACAATAGAAGTATTGTGACTCCATAAAACTGAGCTAATTAGGTGGAAAAAGATGCAAATTGATAATCACGGTCAGGACTAGCAAGCAAACCTATAGAATCACGTAATCTTTCCTTTAGCTTGATGGTTTCATTTGGATGAAACTGAACATTGTATCCTCTCAAGTATTTCTGGCACTGTTCTTTCGTTAATCTATCAATGTCTTGCACAGACAGAACTGGGGGTAATTCTTCTTGGTTTTCTTCCCTATTCAAGAATGGCACACTCACAGCATCGTACCCAACCGACCTTCTAACAACATTAAACACACATAAATGACTGTGCTCGAGTGTAACAAATCTTGAATCAATTAAAGTAAACTTGCTATCCATGTCTCTCTTCATTTGCACCATATCTCTCTTCATTTGCACCATGTCTCTCTTCATTTGCACCATGTCTCTCTTCATTTGCACCTGTTCTTCCTTTATTTCATCCACTTTAGTTTCCAAATTGCTAAAACT